TACAAGGCTGCAGTGGAAAGAGTCCAGCGCTGCCCCCTGCTGGAGGATCCACAGCTGCCCTCAGGAGCTCTGATAGACCAGGCCAAACATCTGGGCAACCTGGCCTTCAACATCTGGAGCAACATGAAGAACATGGTGTCCTACACTCCTCTCATCCTGGACCCAAACACTGCTGGTTCAAGTCTCATCCTGTCTGAAGATCTGACCAGTTTGACTTTTGGAGAGAATCAGAAGCTTCCTGATAATCCAGAGAGGTTTGTGTTCCTGTGGTCTGTCCTGAGTTCTGAGGGCTTTAACTCAGGGAACCACAGCTGGGATGTTGATGTTGGAGACAGTGAACGCTGGATGCTTGGTGTGTTAGAAGAGTCTGTCCAGAGGAAGGGAGCCATAAAGTCTGGATATGTTGTTATAATGTTTAATAAAGGTAAATACTTAGCAGAGTCTCCATCATCTCTTCCCAAACTTCTCTCAGTTCAGAAGAAGCTCCAGAGGATCAGAGTGAATCTGGACTGGGACAGAGGAAAGCTGTCCTTCTCTGATCTGGACACTAACACACACATACACACCTTCACACACACCTTCACTGACAAGATGTTTCCATACTTCCCCACTGCTGGTAAAGTAAAAATCTTACCCATGAAGATCTCAGTGAGCAAACAGCAGCTCTGATGTTCTCAGCATGAAGAACACAAAGTCCAAATGAAACCTTATTGATCTGATTGAAACTCAGTGTTTGAAACAGGAAACTGGAAATTTTGTATTAATCCGTTATAAATACTGCAATTTGAAAAGTTTATTTAAATCCTATTTCTAAATAGTGATTTAAAATCTCCGATTCATCAATGTAAATATAAATACCTTTCTTCTTTAAACATTTTTAAAAGGTAATGCCCTTTTTCAATCTTTCATCTTGCATTTTCTTTATACTTTATCATCTCCATTTAGCATTTCAATGAACCTGGCAAACAGTGTGCTCAGGGACCAGAAGGGCCATGCAAACGATAAAGTGAAGAAAATAAGTATTTGAACACCGTGCTATTTTGCTGGTTCTCCCACTTAGAAACATTGAGGGGTCTGAAATTATCGTAGGTGCATGTCTGTGAGAATCCTTTGTATGATACAGCTGTAAATAAGAATTTTTATATTTTTTTTCCTGTCCTATTTTTTTTTATTTAATTTGTTTCTTTTTCTTTAAATTGTCCTGAGTCCAATTCCAAGCTCCGATTCCCCCGCTCACACCCCCCCTCCCACACACACAAAAAAAATCCCCCTCATTGAAGAAGAACGGCCAAAAACAAGTCAGTGTCCAACACCCACCGCCACACCGCGAGGACCCCTCCACCCAGAAAAATCAACATGCCTGCCCTCCCAGGAGACAAACAAGCCGGCCGAACGGGAACCCCACCGACAGCGCATCGGCGGCACGCGGGGTGCCCGAGCGGCCCTAGCAGAAACAACATCGGAAGGCCGATATGGACGGACCGACGGCACCAACCAAGCCCCCAGGCGGATTCCCCCACCCAAAAACACAGTATACCACTCCACTCCCACCGACCACAGCAAACACAGCCGCAAGGCAAAACAAAGGACATAGCAGCCCCGCCCGGCGCGCGCCAGAGGGCCAGAGCAGCAAATAAGAATTTGAACATCTGTCTATCAGTTAGAATTCTGACCATCAAAGACCTGTTAGTCTGCCTTCAAAATGTCCACCTCCAATCCTTTTATTATTCTAAATTAGCTGCACCTGTTTGAGGTGGTTAGCTGCATAAAGACACCTGTCCATCCCACACAATCAGTAAGAATCCAACTACTAACATGGCAAAGACCAAAGAGCTGTCCAAAGACACTACAGACTAAATTGTAAACCTCCACAAGGCTGGAAAGGGCTTCAAGGAAATTGCCAATTAGCTTGGTGAAAAAAGCTCCACTGTTGGAGCAATTGTTGTAAAATAGAAGAAGTTAAACAAGACTGTCAATCTCCCTTAGACTGGAGCTCCATGCAAGATCTGACCTGGTGGGGTCTCAATGATCCTAAGAAAGGTGAGAAATCAGCCTGGGACTAGATGGGAGAAGCCGGTCAATGACCTGAAAAGAGCTGGGACCACCGCTTCCATGGTTACTGTTGGTAATACACTAAGATGTCATGGTTTGAAATCATGGAAGGTCCCCCTGCTTAAACCAGCGCATGTCAAGGCCCGTCTTTAGTTTGCCAACGACCGTTTGGATGATCCAGAGGAGTCACGGGAGTAAGTCATGTGATCAGATGAGTCCAAAATAGAATTTTTTGGGTCATAATTCCACTAACCGTGTTTGGATGAAGAAGAACGATAAGTACCATCCCAAGAACACCATCCCTAGTGTGAAGCATGGGGGTGGTAGCATCATGCTTTGGGGGTGTTTTTCTGCACATGGGACAGGGCGACTGCACTGTATTAAGGAGAGGATGACCGGGGCCATGTATTCTGAGATTTAGGGGAATAACCTCCTTTTCTCAGTTAGCATTGAAGATGAGTGGAGGCTGGTTTTTCCAATGTGACAATGACCCGAAGCTCACAGCCAGGATGACCAAGGAGTGGCTCTGGAAGAAGCATATCTAGGTTCTGGCCTAGCAAGTCTCTAGACCTAAACCCAATAGAGAATCTATGGAAGGAGCTCAAACTCTGCGTTTCTCAGCGACAGCCCAGAAACCTGACTGATCTAGAGAAGATCTGTGTGGAGGAGTGGGCCAAAATCCCTCCTGCAGTGTGTCCAAACCTGGTGAGAAACTACAAGAAATGTTTGACCACTGGAATTGCAAACAAAGACTACTGTACCAAATGATAACATTGATTTTCTCAGATATTCAAATACTTATTTGCAGCTGCATCATACAAATAAATAGTTAAAAAAAATATCATATATTCTGGTTTTTGGATTTTTCTTATTTAGATTATGTCCCTCACAGTGGACATGCACCTATCATAACAATCTCAGACCCTTCATGATTTCTAAGCGGAAGAACTTGCAAAATAGCAGGGTGTTCAAATACTTATTTCCCTCACTGTAAATGGACAAGGCAAACTGTTAGTAGAATGTAAAGGAACCAGAACGGTCATGGAAATCATAAACGGAGCAGGAAAAGTAAAAGGAAAAACACAACAGCAAAAGGGATTAAACTGCAAATGAGAAAGATAATGGCAATAAAAAACGTAAATATGTTTGAAAATGTTTGATAAGGAAAGGTATTTATAATCAGATCTGTGGATTTTGGTATCTGAATCTCCAATTAGAAATAGGATTTGAAAAATAAATTAAAATTGCAGTTTTTAATAATGAAATAGAATTTACAAATTGTCTTTCATAATTCAATTTAAAATGTCCCATTACAAAAAAATTGTATAAAACTGGATTTCTGACAGTCTGGTTTAAATGTTTAATTTCAAATGTTTTTTTATGTCTTTCTCAGTGACTCTTCTGCCCTCAATACCTTGAGATGATGTGTTGTTTCTCTTGTGTTTCTGGATTAATGTGATCAGTGGTGGTTTGGTCTGCAGAAGAACTAGAACATTGATCTGGAGAATCCAAACCTTGATGATGGACTATTTGACTCTTAGAAAGTGTGTTTTCAACTATTCTTTACAGTCTGGGAGGAAGCTTACTCATTTTTTCATATTCAAACCCCTTATGCGTTTTGTCTTCATGTTCTTTATATAAAATAATTAAATATTAGACTATGGATTATATGAAAATCAGGATCATCTGCAATGAACATAACCTGCATCCATGTCAGCTGTAAAAACAAGTTTTACTATTCAAATACACGTCCTTGAAGAAGTGTGACGAGTCGCTCCACTAAGACGTTTAGGTGAAGGTATGGAGCACCAGAAGTCTGATTTAGCTCTCTTTAGATGACCTCTGTGATTTCCTTACATCTCAGGGTCAGGATGACTGGTACCGTGATGCTGACATGTACATCTGCATTATCCCGTATGGTAAGCCTATGGGAGGATTCTGGTCCCTGATTGGTCTGATGAGCATATTGGAATTAAAATCCAAGAGGTTCTGTAAATACTTAAATCAAATACTAAGAGTATAGTAGATATTTCTATGTAAATATATTAATCACTGGGAACAATGCTAAAGGTGGCAGATTTAGGCATTTATTTCAAATAAAATATTGATTTCTCATGAACCATGGAAGAACTGTGTGTTTTTATTTACTCTGTTGATTTGAGACAATTATTCATTGCAAACATATATGATGTTGCCATAGCAACAACCAGTCATTTTGGTAAACTGTCAGTGAGCGTTTGTTTTCATGCAGGACGTGCTGCAGCTGCGTGCCACATACTTTACATTAATAAATACCATTATATTTGGGTTTTCTGGATGTAAAGTGAACATTTTAGAAGCACAGTGCAAAAATTGCCCAGAGATGATCAGAACTGAACTGATTAAACCATCATCAAGTAGAACTTTTTATTTCTTCCCTAAATTCTTTTAAAAATGAGCTGTTAAACCATCTGTACCAGACGTTTGTTTCTGTTTTTTTAAAAACATCTAATTCTGCCTAATTTAAAACTTTCTCCATCCATATATTAATAGTTTTCATCAGTTTCTGAAACCCATAATGATATATTTCTGTAGATTAATTATTATTAGTGTGAACATTCCTCTCAGTTCACTAACACACAAGAAATTGCTTTTTTTTGTCTTCCATTTTCCAGCCTGATAAAAGGAAGCAGACAAACCAGGGTTCGGTCCGGTACAAATATTTATTCCAATACAAAGAGTGACTGTGACGGCAGTAACAGCAGAACCTGTTTCTCCAAATCTACAGAAATAAAGGATTTCAGTAGAAAACAGTTGACAGCTGCTGGGCCCTTCTAGATGGACTCTGATTATTGGTACCGGGCCTCTGCAGAGCTGGATGACTGGATGCTGCAGTCTAGAAGCTGCAGGGCAGCAGCTCTGGAGGACTGAAAATGGTTATCCCTGATTTACATGAAGTAGAAGGGGAACCTGGATCTGCTGCCAAACAAAGGAGTCAATGTTCCAGCTTTGGTTGAAAAGAAGCACAGCCATGATCAGCAAGTCCTTTCTCGTCATGGTGATGCAGTATTGATGGACCCCCAAAGAAAAAGTCAGAACTGGAGAACTACAGGTGCTGGTCATAAAATTAGAATATCATGAAAAAGTAGATTGATTTCAGTAATTCCATTTAAAAAGTGAAACTTGTANAGTGCATGCTCATTCTCTGGCTTTTTATGCGCATGTAATTGTAATTGGCTAATGCTACATTCACAATGCAAGCAGCAGAGGCAGCAGAAGCAGCTAGTTTACATGCAAAGTCAATGGTTGACGCACATAAAGCAAAAGGTCCTGCATCGTGTTTTGAGCACCAGGAGCAGTGCGTCATAAGCTTCTGAGCATCTGACAGACGCGATGCCCTGCGAAAGCAGCAGCTGCTGAAGTTGTAAAAATTTAACTCACGCTGCTCGACGCGCCACATCAACCAATCAGAGAAGCTGATCTGGGAGCTGGCAGGGAGACAGACACAGCACTGCTGATGCAGATCGCTATGATCACTCCACTGAAACAGTTTATTAACGCCTAAATGAACTAAAAATTTAAAAACCTGCAAAATATGTTTGCTTTTATTATTCTGGTTCATGCAGTTCGTAGTAGAAAACCGCAAAGAGGCGACCGGGCCAGAGGCTGCCACTGAATGGAATTTCCAGTGACAGTGCACTGCCTGTATACAGGGGTCTGACCGGCTCCGACAGCGAAATAATAATTAAAGGCAGGATCGTAATCTTGATGAACTGACTGCACAGATGAAGCTTTCAGGTAGACTTTCTCACTTAAAGTAAAAACATATTTAAAAAAAACTTTTCACCCACTGATCACCAGTGTTGGGCACATTACTTTGAAAAAGTAATTAGTTATAGTTACTTCTCCCAAAAAGTAACTGAGTTAGTAACTGAGTTACTCTACAATAAAAGTAACTAGTTACTAGTAAAAGTAACTATTGCGTTACTTTTCTGTATGAAATTAATAACTGGGGATGTCTAATTCTGAAATCCTGTGTTTGGGTTGTTATAGATACTGCAACATGTAGCTATATCTATGTACTGTATCTATTCCATCTATTCCATCCATCCATATTTCTCCCTTTCTCCATATAGGCTAATGATTGTTCACGCTCTCCGTAGTTCTCCTGTGGCGCGAGCACAGGGCGGCTGTTACGCGCCTTAAGCGAGCATGCGCTTTTCCTGTCGCTTGCGCGGTGAATCGTGCCGCCGCGCTGTGCGGAGATGCAGGGGAAACCGTATCTGATGGGGAAACGCAGCTCGACGTAACACCAGTATTTCCATCTGGAAAGCGCTGTTTTGCCGTTGGAGTCCTCCTCACTCTCCATCCTCCCCTCTCTCATGACGCGCGCACGAGTCCGATCATGAAAAAAGGCTAATTGTGTGATCTGAGTAACGTGCAGTAACGGGGTGTCGGCAATTGTAACTGAGTTATAGTTACAGTAAGAGTAATAATTTTGATTACGCGTTACTAAAAAAAGGTAGCGGCGTTAGTAACGCCGTTACTCCCAACACTGCTGATCACAGCAAATATAGCCGCCATTGTTACAGGCAAAGAGAGGATGTAGATGTTTCCTCCCTGGCTTTAGCTATAATAACTTTTGTTGTCATAGTCTGTTTATACGCAGCAGAACGAGATTAAAAGCCAANGTCCAGATGCTACAAACTAAGACATGAAGTGGATGATGTGGTGTTTAGTTTGGTTCTGACAGCAGATCCAGGT